AAAAAAAAAAAGAAAGATACTGTATTCATCTACAACTAAATATTTTTTAAAACAAAATATATGTGTGTATGTGTGTGTGTGTGTGTGTATGTATGCGCGCCACATATTCAGACCCAGGAATGGAGTAATAAAATGTGACAGCAGTTTCTTCTTAAAATATGACCCAAACATACACATAACCCCCACTCACACCTCTCAGGCTAGTACTTACATATACAGCTACCACACCCACTCTCAAAAAGAAGAAAAACCAAGGCAGGAGGAATGTGAGTTCAAAGCCAGTCTAAGCAAAAGCGAGGTGCAACTCAGTGAGACTCTTTGACTAAATAAAATACAAAACAGGACTGGGGATGTGGTTCAGTAGTCGAGTGCTCCTGAGTTCAATCCCTGGTATCCACCCCCCACCCCCAACCCCCCCCACCAAAACAAAAAACAACAACAAAAAAAAACTGTTTGCCATGAAGCTGAGCTTGGTGGCACATTATCTGTTACTCCATCAATGTGGGAGGCTGAGCCAGAGAAGATTGCAAGTTTGAGGCTAGCTTCAGCAACTTATTAAGACACTGTCCAAACAAACAAAAAAAAAGTAGCATGCCACAAATCCTAAGGCAACTTCTTAAAAAAAACCAAAAAAACCCACAGTGTTGGGGGTGGGGGCAGTGGTGCACAATTGTAATCCCAAGAAACTCAGGAGGCTGAGGCAGGAGAATTGCAAATTTGAGGCCAGCCTCAGCAATTTAGCAAGTGAGGCCCTAACCAACTTAAGACTCAGTCTCAAATTTAAAAAAAGGGCTGGAAATGGAGCTCAGGAGTAAAGGGCCTCTGGGTTCAATACTCAGTATCACACTAAAAACAAACAATAAAAACCAAAGAGGTATACTTAGCCCAAAAGGAGATAAACAGAATAAAAAAATATTAATCAAAAACTTCAGAAGAATGGGATAAAGAGAAAACATCAAAATGACAGGTTAAAACCTTACCATATCAATAATCATATTAAATGCAAATATAATCTACATATCCCCAGTTAAAAGGAAAGAGTACTGGATAAAAAAAAAAAACCAAAAAAACAAAAACAAACAAAAAAAACCCAAACCAAACACCGAAACATGCTGCCTACAAGAAACGATAGTAAAGTCATCTCAAAATCACACTCCAAGAAGGCAAGCACACAGCTCCTTTAATCATTTTGTTTAGAAATTCCTTCCAGATATCCTAGTTCATTGCTCTTGAATTCTGTCTTCTATGAAGACCCTGAGCAGAGAGACAATTTGGCCATGTTATTAGCAAATTTATATTAAAAATAGACTTTATTCAAATTTCCAATACCTTGCTCTTCATTTTAATCAGAAACCTCATCAGAATGGCTTTACTTTCCATAATTTTACCAATATTCTATGATCACTTAAGTAATTGAAGTTTCAGACTCTCCCCACATTTTTTCTTCTGAGCTCTTACCAGAGTCACTTTTTAATTTTTTTTTTTAGTTGTAGATGGACACAATACTTTTTTTTTTAATGTGGTGCCGAGGATTGAACCCAGCCTATATCAGAGCTTTAAGAGTGATTCTGGGTGTTGGGGTTGTGGCTCAGTGGGTAGAGTGCTTGCCTAGCATGTGTGAGGCACTGGGTTCCATTCTCAGCACCGCACATAAATAAATAAAAATTAAAGGTCCACCAACAATTAAAAACATTTATTTAAAAAAGCTTTGATTATAACAATCTAGCCTTTTTCTAAGATGCCCCTCAAAATCTTTCTTTTTTTTTTTTTTAAAGAGAGAGAGAGAGAGAAAGAGAGAAAGAGAAATTTTTTTAATATTTATTTTTTTTTTAGTTTTCGGCAGACACAACATCTTTGTTGGTATGTGGTGCTGAGGATTGAACCTGGGCCGCACGCATGCCAGGCAAGCACGCTACCACTTGAGCCACATCCCCAGCCCCCCCTCAAAATCTTTCAGACTTTCTTTTTTAACACTGGAATTGAACCCAGGGGCACTTAATCATGTCCTCAGCCCTTTTAAAATATTTTATTTAGAGACAGGCTCTTGCTGAGTTGCTTAGGGCATCACTAAGTTGCTGAGGCTGGCTTTGAACTCACAGTCTTCCTCCCTAAGCCTCTTTAGCCGCTTGGATCACAGCCCTGCACCACCATGCCTAGCATCAGACTCTATCTAGTTCAAAGGATACCACCTTCTACATTTTCAGGTATGTTTTAGCAACAATCCCAGTTCTCAGTATCAATTTTATCTTAGTCTGTTCTGTGAGCTACAGGGTACCTGAGACTAAATAATTTATAAAAACCAGATTTCTTTCTTACAGTTCTGGAGGCTGGGAAGTCCAAGATTAAGGGGCTGGCATCTGATGAGGGCTGCCTTTTGTCATTCCATGGAGAAAGGCTGAAGGGCATAAGATCTCAGAGCAAGGGAGGACTGAACTTGTTCCCCCCCACTCCTCTTAACATTATTGCATTGGGGATTAAGTTTCCAACATGTGAATTTTGGGGTATACAATGAAACCACACAAAACATATTGAGGTTTAGAAATCAGGCAATTTTATATGTACTGATATACTCTAAAATATTGTCTCCAAGTCTATTTATTTAATTCAGTCCATTTACATTGACTGTGATTTTGAGATGTTTATACTTATTTCTATCAGCTAATTTTCTTCTAAAAAAAATAGTGGAGTTTCTTCCCCTTTGTGCCATCTCGCACATTCACTCTCAACCACTGATTGATTCTATGTGTCATCTTCCACATTCTCTCTCAACCACTGATTCCATACTCTCCCCTTTAAAAAGGATTTGCAATTTATATATCTGAACAGTACCATCTCTTACTACTACTACTAAATTCTTTCAGATACCAATTTATTTGTTTCTAGTTCAAAACATTTCAGTATTAAAAATTTTCCCTAGTCATAGCATATTCTTTAGTTACAACATAAAATTTATATTTTGTACTTTTGGTTGAATATATTAATATAAATTATCTAATAATGTTTAAAAATAAAAATGTCTTTTTAATGGTCTAAGATATGAGCTAATGTTTGGATTCTTTCTGAAAATAAACTATACAAGAACATTAAATTACCTCGACAGAACTGTTTACTACAAGAGATTTCAT